AATATAATAACGCAATGAATGCATTAATTTGGGTTTATACAACCGACTAAAATTAATGTAGTTTCCATATCAGCATAACAAATCAGACAGCGCTATCTTTCAATGCGCACCGATAGAGAACGGAATAAGAGCATCAGACTTACCTATAATTACGAGACAACCGTCAATACACATGGTCTTTCGATGCATGACAGTTTCTTGGGGCTAGTACCGCAGCAGATATTTAATTATCTCGTTCATCTGGTTTGTTTTAATTACGTGAACTTTATTCTCGATATTTTTGAGAATGGAATGTTTATTGTCCGTAGGAAATGAGCGTTTTGCCTACGGAAATTGAATGTTCGTCCACATTAACACAAAAAGTTCATTTTAAAAAACCGGAAGTATATCGTCACGAATGGCAGGTTTATGGTAATGAATATGATTCTTCTTATTTTATGAAAACAAGGTTTACCTTCATACCTTCATAAGCAGGCGGTTTACTTTGACAACCGGCAGGTTTAAATTCAAGAACAAGGGGTTTGGCGTCAGCAATGGCGGATTTTTACAAGCATTCATAAGATTTCATTATTTGGAGGTCAAGACTTGTCCACTCTCGAACAAAGCTACCTATATTGGCCTAATTTCGCTTAATGTACCCATCTCCTATTTACCGAGTTGGTTGTTACCATAACTTGTAAGAAGCTCTGTAGTTAGTCATCATAGCTACGTGGTTTCCGGGATGTTTTTGAGGTCTTGTGTAAATGATTCGTGTCGACTCGGGGGAAGCTCAGAATCAACTTTAACAAATCACGTTCAAATTCAACAATCACTAGGCAATGCGTGATCAGAATATTGTTCTGGAGCATAGCAATGTGTACGTCAACTGTCACGATTTCAGCTTTCTGTAAGGTCCGCCAAGCTAGTAATTTTGGGCAATTGTAAGAACATTCATACGATACTAATTTTGAGTGGATGCATAGAAACTCTACGCGTTTAAAATCTAGTATGTATGCAGGCTCTACTTATTAACACTGATTACCTTTGTAATCTCATGCTGGAGACTTAGCTGCCAGTCAGGATAGTTGACAAGATAAAGAAGCAGCCAACAGAGAGCCGTATAGTGATTGTGTCCTTTGATGCCATGAGCAGGCCAAGACATGATTGATACAGATCCATGACGTCATCTATAGCAATACATTTCATCAGATTATTCTTAGATCTACTTGAACATTGAATATAAAATGCTTATATATATAGTATACAAAACGCTATTTAAAGATATCCTACCTTTTGTTTTCCCATCCACAGCTGCCTGTTGCAGGTAGTAGTTAACAAAATCTTTAGGATTTTTTTGGTCCAATTTGTCTTGATGTTCCTGTATTAGCTGAAACGTGTCAATTTTGTAAACAGTCTTGGCTTGATCGAGGTAAAGCATGAATAATGAATTATGCCTCATAGCTGTCAGCGGACCACCTAATGCCATCATGTGGCAATTCATACCCGTGCTAAATGATAGATTCAAACAGAAAACGCCACTTATGTGGAGATTAGAAGCAGGATGACGGGTAAGTCAATGTTCAGTGATAGTTTTTTTAACGATGTTACAATCATTCTCGCACCTTCATTATGATTAGTTTCATGGACTTAACGGCCTTCTGAGCGCCCGGCAGTCGAGACCCAGGTCGGAAGCGCAGCAATGGGAACAGTCCTTCTGGCGCCTTCATTGATTCTATGATCGTCGCTGCACCATCTTCCATCTCCCGAAGCAACTGATCTCCAATTTTTAATCTGCGCCACAGAGATGAGATGATTCAAATTAACAACGGTAAAGTGAGTTCAAGCAAATTTAGTTGATTCAGTAGAAGTTTTCTACTAAGACTGCATATAAATAAATAAATAAATAAATAAATAAATAAATATATATATATTTATTTATTTATTTATAAATATTTATATATAACGGCATATATGTATACTTCTTTTCTGGCATAAAACAACGTATTTAAACTTACTTCATTTATTATTTGAGCAGAATACCAAATAGCCCTAGAGGCTAAGATTTTGTTTGTTCCCCTTCACGTAGTTATAAACTTGTTAGTGCCTATTAATTTAGAAAGCAAATATATCGCCCTTGCTATACAAGGCATCGTTTTTATCATGCAAATATAATATTATGTAGAAGTTGCGATTTATGAGGAAATTGGTATAGCACTTATCTTTTGCCAAACAGTACGGCACAGCTGATGCTAGAGGAAGCTCCACTGAGGCTCTCTCGGGGATTGAAAGCCTGGTTGCTCTTCCCATGGCGAACAAATTCCCCTATGAGATTGTCCAAAGACCTCTTTGGTCTGCTGCTCAAGTCGCACTGGGCCCTAAAATCCCAGTGCCCCCTAGTGCCTGACGAGCGATGCGTCGACCATCCATAAGGCTCTGGTTGAGTTTGTGGCAGAAGAACCTGGGGGTAGTGTAATATATCGTTGCTGAGCGTATAGTATATATATTATTATCTTATAGTATATATATATATATACCGTCACAAGATTTTTACTCTGGTCTGCACTTAGTTCAATACTCCTTCGCGCTATTTCTCTCTAATGCATATATATATATATATATAATATAGATAGGCACAACGCACACACACACAGCACACAACACACCCCACACACGACACAGCACACACACACAGCAGCACACACACACACACACGCAGACAACGCACGCACACAGCACGACTACACACACACACACGACGACACACACACACTACAATCACATCACACACAGCCACCACACCCAACACACACACAACACATCACGAACACACACACTACACCACACACACACATACACACATACACGCACACACGCACACAGCACATGCAACACCACGGCAGCCGCACACGACACACGCACGTTGTTCCACACGCAGGGCACACACACACAGCATACACAACCCCACGACGTTACACTCAGCACACACACACCCACACACACACAGACCCTCCACACGCACGCAACGCACGCGAGCACGCACGCACGCACGCACGCACGCACGCCTACGTGTCACGCACGCAGGCAGGCGCACGCACGCACACACACATATAATTTAATATATAATATATATATAATATAATATATTATATAATATTATCTATACTAGACTAGACGTAACTAACGTAATTGAACTAGTGAACATTACTACACATACAGCTAAACCGCTGGTCAAGGTATCAGGGCGCCACTGTATAGGCGATATTAAGCATCACTCTCCTGTAGGTGTTTAGCGGCTCACGTAGCAGTTCTCACCTTGTTTTCGTCGACGTCCTACGGCTCAAACAGGTATTCCTGAACGAAGTTGCACCTTCTGTCCATAAAGTCAGCACCGCGGTGTACATAAGTCTCTCGTATAGCATCGTAGCTATTCAGTACTATCATGGGTACTGGGCCCACCCACACCGTGAACATGGGTCCGTACTTCTTTCCCAGCTCTAGTAAAAAAGCACGTGCAATGTAAAAGAAGGCTGACATCTTACATCCTTCTTATGTATGCGGATCGGTTCAACGCTGTATTCGCACGAACACAAGTATATGCTCAATTTTTAAAGTGTTCAGGCGGTGTTTAGTGTTTAGTGTTCAATGTTTAGTGTCTAGTGGTTTGTGTGCGTTAGTCTTTAGTGTTCAGCGTTCTTAATTAAATTATAATTTCCCGTGGTATATTTGAGGAGATAAAGTCGACAGCTACCTCTGAAGTTCTATAATGACGCGCCTTAGTACACTGTACTGACTCATGAAAGTTAATTGAGTTCAATTACCCAGGGATGATATATCTGTTAATTGCTGATATATATTCATAAGTTTTATACGCACAACTAGGTACTGAATTAAAAGGTTTGCTATTAGATGTGCGCACACGAAATCACAGCATGAATAGTTCATACGTGCAGATGCATCAGCTCAGCTGGCAGCGTCATATACGGGTGCTTGCCGAGGAAAGGAAGGTAGCCCACAACGGGCAGTCCACGCGGTGCCGGGGGAAGGTTTCCGGGGAAGGTCGCCCAGCGATGCATGAGGAGGAGAAGTACGATGCCTAGGAGCAGGTTGACGGTGACCGCATCCACAGCCATCGTGCTGCTTGTGACAGTTCGCGTCGAAGAATGTTATCCACTCTACTCGTCGGGTATGTATGCAGGCGGTCACGCGTTTGCCTCGCTGAATTTCGCGAGCATTAGTGAAATAGCCGGGTCACTAGATCGCATTCGCAAGCAGTCCGACAGGTTCGGATATATTTACGCCACGATGAGCCACAACGGTAGGCCTACGTGCGTACAGGATATGGGCACGGAATCGGAGGAGTGCCCCAGAGTAAAGATGCGTGTGACCATATTACAAGGGGACGGAATCCACTGCGCAGTACGTGTGCTGGGAAAAGATAAATTGGGTTGTATTTATTCTACATACGAATTTGTACAGTTCGATAAATAAATATTGATTAGAAATAACTAGTAATCAGAATTAATATTTAGCAGCGCGTGTGATGGATATTCCCTTGCGGTGTTGTCTTTTGCAATGTTGATTGACGTGCATGATGCACTATTTATGAAAGTCCTTTTTTTCGCACGATACAGCTGGTTTCAGTAGGTCTTTGTTATTAATGCTTTTATACAGGTGGATAGTATTGAAAATAGTAAAAATGACAACGAATTGAAATAGTTCAGGTTTGGCGATCACTTTAATGGATTAAATTAATTAGACAATTATGCTAATGTAGTTTTAACAGTGAGACATAGTGGTGAGGAGAAATGACGATAATACTGTCTGCATTAAAAACTCCCAACCTGGAGAAATGCACATTAATAACGGAGCTTACCTCATCAGTAGTCAGCACCAGATGGAAACATAAGCGAACCACTCAAAACGCGTTGACATTTTAAAAGTGTTGCAACTACTGACAAATGTATAACAACGTTTGTGAAAAATTGTTGCAATTATTTCTTGCTGGTAATTGAAATTTTACGTATTTTCAGCGCAAACTGCGTTTTTGGAGCGTGATCGCTAGGGTGTTACGTTTTGTTGCGAACGTGTAACTTGACTATACCTAATTTAATATTTCGCTCTAAAAAATTTCAAACGTGTTAGAACTCATATACGTCACTCATATAGAGCCGGTCGTAGCGCATGTAGTATCAGGGGACTATCTCATCAGCCGCCCTCGTTCCTCTTACTCCCCTGCGTACAATCGCAATTATAATACGTGTCTACATTTTTATGCGTGTGCCTAACTGTAGTCTAGGAGCTATCAGGAAATTTGCGGGAAGTTGAATTACTTCAATGCCAATTAACATATTATTGGTAGAATCCTACGGTACATGATTGTTATAGGCAGTTATAGCCTGTCCTATTGTAGCTTTAATGACGTCATGTTGCAACGCGACACCTGAACAGACTTCTATTGGCGTGTTTTATCGGTTCATGTTGATTATATGTCTTTGTATGGTATGTATGATTCATGTCTTTGAATATTTCGTTTTGACAAATTCACAGCAGAATTGGCGCATGGCGCATTGTTTATGAACATGTTTCATGTCAATTATACTCTTGATTGTATTGTATATAGCCGCGTTACATATAGTTGATAGTATTGGATACCGCTTACATTTAGTGTACTAACTTTTGTGTGTTATAGGTGGCCTGCCAATCCAAATGTCCTATAAACGAACGAGCTGTACCTCGGATGGGCTTTACATTAGTCGTTATATAGTATATACACCACGCTACGCACAAGAAAATCCTCAGGGGGTTATCTCACCCTCTTTGTGGCTCTAGCGGCGTGTGGTCCGTTCTTCTCCGATGAGGAGAAAGCAATATATGAAACCTCAACGCCATTAAAAGATTAAGCAGTCTCCTCGTGTTCCCAAAGCTGGAGGCCATGTGCACATGCATCGTACCAAGTCTCTTTTTGCGACGTTAGGTATTACACAGTTTGCCATGCGCTTAACGCATTGACTGACTACCATTGCATTATTGTCAGTTGGGCCCCGTACATATATGTACATACTAGCCTGGTACCCGGCGTTGCTCGGGGAAAAACGCGTAGGAACAACTTTAAGAGCAAATCAGCCACATCATACTAAGAAAATATTTTCACCCCCCCCCCCTTCAGGCATCCCCATACGATCCCATCAGAAAGGAAAGAGAACGTATGGGTTCACAATCTAAAACACTATCCAGCCACACGAGACTCATCTACCGGTAGAGATTCCGGGATGGATAGAAGACAGTAATCACCCCTCCACCAGCTGGTATAACCACGCCCAAAGGCTATTTCTCAGCCGACACTCTAGGGTAGGGCAGGTGGCTCGTTTACCTTTTTTATAACTTTACCTTGTCCCTTTTAATAACTTCCTTTTTAATAACTTTACTGAACTTACTTCTATTATTAAAGAATATATTCGTAAGAGGAGAGAAAAACAATACAGAAAATATTCGACAAAAACAGTTCGAAACGATTCTATGATTAGGTGTAGTCAAAGCTTCTGGATATACAACATTGTTATATGTTGTTGTACACATTGTTATACAAATTGTTAAGAAATTGCGCCAAGTTATTATGAATATGCCTCTCTGGCTTTGCAAGCCTCGTCTCGTCTTTTAAATATACAATTGGTGACATCTGTCACGCGTGTCTCATATCATTGGAATTCGCTTTACATCAAAATAATACATGAAAACTAAACTAAACTAAATACATAGGGCAATAAACTAAACCCGTCACTTTAGCAGAGTATCAGTTCAGGGTCACTTTCATAGTAAAATAATAAGCAGATTTAAAAAAGTAAATATTTCTCCAAACGTATGGATATCACCTCATTTTAACCAAATTAGTTTGTCAATTTGGCAGAGTTCTGCACCAGTGAAGTCACCATAAATGACATTATCAAAAAGATAAATAGCACCTGATTTTAACAAACTTAATTCTTTATACCATGATATACATCATATCCGAATGTATACTCAGACAAATTACAATTTTAACAATACAAATGAATGAAAATAAACCCTTAAAAGTGTGTGTTGTGCTGCTTTTGAGACTCAACTGACAACTAAATGCATAATAAAAAAAATTTATAAATTTGGCATAATTTAACCTGGTATTAACAAAGTTTTGGCTTTTGTCCGCTTGATGGAGGGAAATCGGCTGTTCTACTTTTCTGACATCACCCCACTGTTAAAATTAGCGCCCGTATTAACGCCTATTTATCGTCATTATATCTACAAATATGGGTGGATTTAACAAATATGGATAAGCCTATGTTGGTGTCCGACACAGGGGCTATACACTGAGATCGGTGGCGTGGGCTTGATGCTCACCGCGGCGAAGATTACCGCGTCAGAAAACCGGCCTCTCCTCTCTTATAATATATATATATATATATATATATCCGTTGGCTCCTCACGGCGGAGCGCAGGAAACTGGTGCTTATATAGATATCTTATAACAGAGCTAGTTTTATGAGGGTTGTTGGCCTAAGTTTCCGATATAGCGATTCGGTGTTGCTGATTTCGAACCCCATGCAGGCAGGCACAGAATGCAGTAACCTGTACATGTGGGACTATATAATACTATACTACTGCATATATAAATGTAATAGCATAGGCGGCTAATGTAAGTCTGCACTTGTTTCTGCCTGTGTCTGTGTAGGCCTACCCTAGCTGTAGCCTAAATGGTAACCACTGTTAAATTATTTTCACTCATTTTATGCGTAGCCCTCATCTCTTTTACACATTAATATTTTGGATTGTATTTATTTGAACATCCACACATGCTCACATAAATGTTTGATGTGCAACTTTATTTACAAGGCCAATTGGTTAAAGTGTGTGGTTTCTACGCAACCAATGGGGGCCACAAAAGGAGCGTTCACGTCGCGGCCCCTGTCAGGTTTCCCACCTGCAAATCCTTCTACCTCACTACACTACACCTCATTATGTCTATCCATGACCAACAAGATGGCAAGTCTCAGTGTCGACAGCACGGGTCCTTATCAGGGCCGGCACTAAGTATCATCTCATCCAACCTTGAAGGTCTCTCAGGCGCCAAACAAGATCTTCTGGCTGACCTGTGTGTGAGAAACAAACGTGGCATTCTTTGCCTTCAGGAGACACACCGCGGACCTTCGCGTAATCGCCCACAAATCCCCGGAATGACCCTTAAAGCAGAGAAACCACATAATCTATACGGTAGTGCAATTTTTGTACGTAATGGGCTAACTGTGGATAAGTCTTCTCTATCAGACGATGCTAACATTGAAGTTCTTACCATCGAGCTTATGGAGATTTTTATCAGCTCTGTCTATAAACCGCCACCTGAGATATTCGACCTTCCTCGCGAGGTTACTGATGGCCGTATCAATGTGGTTATAGGAGATTTCAATAGCCATAATGTTACCTGGGGATATGCAGAAACAGACGAAGATGGTGCACTTGTGGAAAGCTGGTCAGATGTGAATCAGCTGTCGCTTATACATGACGCAAAGCTCCCCTGCTCCTTCAACAGTTCCAGATGGAGGGGTGGATACAACCCTAACCTGGTGTTTGTTTTTACCAGCATTGCTGGCCAATGTGAGAAGGTTGTCCTGGACCCAATACCACACTCGCAACACTGGCCCATTGGGCTTAAAGTTAACGCCGTAGTTACACCTCGATCGGGACCTTTCATGCCGACGTGTCAACCTGAAGAAGGCTAATTGGGAAAAATTTGACAAAGAACTCGATGACGCAGCCCGGCACCTGCCTGCTCCACCTACTAACTATAACACCTTCGTAAAGATGATCAAGAAATCATCCAGGAACAACATATCTCGAGGATGCCGCACAAATTACGTCCCAGGTCTGACGGGTGACTCTGAAGCACTTTTTGAGGACTATGTAAACTGTTTTCAGAATGATCCATTCGGTGACCACACGCTTGACACACACACGAAAGACTAACTGAAGCCATAGCAGAAGGCAGACAGAGGAAATGGCAGGAACTCATCCAGTCCACAAACATGACCCATAGTAGTAGAAAAGCGTGCAAGACAATTCGGATG